ATATACCTGGAGCAATACAATGACACTGACACATGTGTTAGAGTGAGTTAGTGAGTTTAGTTTTACGCCACACTCAGCAACATTCCAGCTATATGGCAGCGGTCTGGAAATAATCAGATCTGGACAAGACAATCCAGGGATCAACAGCATGAACATCGATCTACACAAGTGGGATAAGATGACATGTGTCAACCAAGTCAGCAAGCCTGACCACCGGATCTCGTTAGTCACCTCTTACGACAAGCATGGGTTACTGAAGATCAATTCTAACCGGATCTTCACAGGTACAAGTGCTAGAAAGACAAAACATTTACTACAGAGATCAGTTGTATCTTCCATTATTCTGGTAACATTAAAGCAACATAGATTATTGCAGTGCGTTTCACAAAGTGAAAGTATGTCAGGATATTCATCAACTGGTCTTGTTTACATCGATTACTAAATAAACAAAACAGTGACTGAATACGTCTAATCCTTCAACTGGAAAACCTACATTACAAGAATTTTGATGCATGGGTCTGCACCCACCCTTTTTGAAGCATATAACTCTTCTCAGTAGACATGACACAGAATATAACTAAACCATTTGGCACCATGACGTAACTGAAATAACAATTAATTCTTCATTCACAAATACTTTCCCAAATTAATGCCATTAAATATTATTGTTCATATGTGCACTTTTTTCTTAAAAAGTCTTGATGAATTTTGAATGCACAAATTAATGTGGCACTTAAAATGTGAAGTCTGAACACTGAGTGGATTTGTTTAATCTGCAAGTCAAAATATGTGAGTCTCAAGGTTATGCTGCTTTTAGTAATATTCCAGCAATAACAAGGCAGGGGACACCAGCAATGGACTTCATACTTTGTACCCATGTGGGGAATTGAACCCAAGTCTTTGGTGTGCCGAGCTAACACTTTAACCCCTAGGCTACCTCACCAGCCACAGCCCGAAGTGATGGAGATTAACTTTGGTCAGCCCTACAGAATACAGTTATCACGCCGAATGAATATGCAACTGTATCTACATCAGCATGAAACACTAGCTGGGTGATAAAGCTATGTTGTTCAAGAGATACATATCATGTGGAAAGGTCTTTCATGATGAATAAGAGTATAAGATCAGGTCTCCTTCTGTAAACATTGTCATCAAGCAATGCCATTCTTTTTCTCTGTACAAATATTTCAGTCACTCTTCAAGTAATGTACCAGCCGTAGAAAACAACGCTGTCAATATCCTGATCACATAACCACATCACAATGATGGCACCTTCAATAGTTATTCACCTGTTCCTCAACTGACATCTCAGAGTGATGAGTGAGCTAGGATTTAAGTAGGAATGTCATGCAAATATGGCAAATGGTCTCTCCTTCCAATATGTATTTAAGGTTCTTATATTCTTCCATATTAAACATAACCTGAAGATAACCGCCCTCATTTCAGTTGTGTAGTTATTCACACCTACAATATAGCTGTAGATATAGTACCTTTCATAGCTTCTTCAGCTGCACTGATTTCAAAGGTCATCCACAACAAATTTCAGGAAACATTGATAATGAACATTTCTATGATCTAGAATTTTATGTTGTTTTAGCAATATTCCAGCTATGACTTGGAACGCCATATATATTGGCTTCACATACTGTACCAGTGAGTTTTATGTTAACCAGAGCTTTCAATGAGTCACTTTAATCAATAGGCTACCTACCAACTTTCATGATTGAACAAATAAACATGTTAAGTATCATAATCAACATGGATGCGATTGTTTAACAAGATTGCCCAATGAACAAGAAAGCGAATCTTCTCTGGCCTAAAGCACCTAAACTATGGTAATGCTGACACTTAGAGTCAGTTGTCATATTACATGGATTCGTTGTAGATGTTGGACAAGACAGGCAGATGACAGTGGATAGATGATGACGGTAATACGTGGAAAAAGGTCAAAACCTGTCTGCTGGCAGAGATACTGAACTGAATGAGTGAAGAGCCTCACCGATGAACATCACCTCAAACATTATGGCAAAACATCAACTCACACATGACAGAGACAATGGCAGAGTATCGCATCAAACATGACAGATAGATGATCACAGAACATCACCGCAAACATGACAGAGACCACTCACAGAAGATCACCTCAAACATGACAGACATCACGAGAGACCATCCCTCTTCAACAATTGGAGAAGATCACCTCTAACATCACCGAGACCATCCCTTCAAACATGACAGAGCATTGGAGAAGATCTCCTCAAACATCACTAAGACCATCCCTTCAAACATGACAGAGATCATTGGAGAAAATCACCTCAAACATCACTGAGGCTCATTGCAGACCATCCCTTCAAACATGACAGAGATCATTGGAGAAGATCACCTCAAACATCAGAGGCCATCGCAGACCATCCCTTCAAACATGACAGAGATCACTGGAGACGATCACCTCAAACATCAGAGGCCATCGCAAACCATCCCTTCAAACATGACAGAGATCATCGGAGAAGATCACCTCAAACATCACTGAGACCATCCCTTCAAACATGACAGAGATCATTGGAGACGATCACCTCAAACATCAGAGGCCATCGCAGACCATCCCTTCAAACATGACAGAGATCATTGGAGACGATCTAACATCAGAGGCCATCGCAGACCATCCCTTCAAACATGACAGAGATCATTGGAGAAGATCACCTCTAACATCACTGAGACCATCCCTTCAAACATGACAGAGATCATTGGAGAAGATCACCTCTAACATCACTGAGACCATCCCTTCAAACATGAAAGAGATCATTGGAGACGATCACCTCAAACATCAGAGGCCATCGCAGACCATCCCTTCAAACATGACAGAGATCATCGGAGAAGATCACCTCAAACATCACCCCTTCAAACATGAGACCATCCCAGACCATCCCTTCAAACATGACAGAGAGATCACCTTGAACATAACTTTTAAACAACTGCTGATCCTCTATGACAAATGATTTAAATACCTAATCATGAAGTAATTTGCACATCATCAAAGTAGGAGAGAACCTGGGCAGCTGGCCTGACAGGTCACAGCTTTGCCCACTCCCACCCAATCAACAATGTCAGTACCACGGACTGCTGGTATGAAACACTGAGATGTTGCAAGTTGCACCATCCCATGGCATACCCAACAGAATCACGGAGTCACAACACAATGATCACCATATCTCAGAAATACAGAAATTCCTGCACCAAGTTCCTTCAGGTGTTTGACTATACATACCACTCAACATTAAATTAAGGGTACAGAATTACTGTCATGGCTTATGCATGTTTAACTTTAAATGAGACCAACTATGATACCCTTCCACTGCAATATCAGATGTATGACGTCACTTTTAAAAATCAGTCTTATTGAACATGAAACTGGTCAGTCCATGTCCTCACCAAAATTAAGAAAGATAAAAAAACATTATGAATCAAAATGAAATCCCTTTAATTTGAAAGCTAACTGTGTTTAATCATGTTGAAATAGCCTGAATATACACATTTCTCAATTAAGGAATATGGTTGTGGGAAATTTCACGTTATATGCATTCCTACCTAGAGTAATTTTCTGTATTATGTAAGCATATTTTTCTGGCTACCTGATTGGTCTAGAGGCGGTCACGTGACCGTCAACAGAAAATCATATTGACTCCAACCCAGATCCGACCAAAAGTCATATTGACTTGAGTTACTAAAAATAGATTTTGACGTCAAGCTATCACAGTATTGTTGACATGTCACAGTATTGTTGACATAACGTTATTGGTTTGTAGCGAAAATAAAATTACTTTTCTTGACTAAATGGACATGTTTTGGCTTTTAGAAGCTTTTTTCGTCCTCGGTCAATATTCCTTTTCGTGGGTCGATAAAAACAGGTATTGACCTCATCACCGGTCTATAATTGTATAATGTTCCAATTAATCTGGATCCATGTTATTGTTTATTACCATGAAATGACGTCAATAATATAGGAGAAATTAAATATCATGATAGGTACACCATCCATCCAAACTAAATTGTTTGGAACAATCTTGTTTATCTCCAGACACGTGTTAATACGGACTACGCTTTAAATGATCATTTTTCCAGTTGTATCCCTACGTCAAACACCAAACCATGGCACAGATCATGTCTTCCAATAGCAGAATGATACAGATCATTTGGATCAGTACACATGCTTAATACCACAGAAATCTGAGTATAATTTAGTTGAAACAGATACTCTCACATGCAACAAATATGTATTGTTTCAGAGTTGAAGATGTATCACAACCTACACTTGTGTGTGAGAGAGTGATTGAGTCATACATCCCTTTTAGACAAGTTCACACATATACATGAGGGGGACAACACGATGGGCATCACATAGTGATACTGGGTCAGCCCAAAGGGGACACCTGCACTTTAGGGGTCCCTACCTTTGGGACCCTAACCCTAACCCAACCTAACCCTAACCCAACCCAACCCTAACCCCAACCCAAACCCCCAACACCCAACCCAACCCAGCCCAGCCCAACCCAACCCAACCCAACCCAACCCAAACCCTAACCCAACCCAGCCCCTAACCCAACCTAACCTAACCCTAACCCAACCCTAACCCAACCCAACCCAGCCTAACCCTAACCTAACCCAACCTAACCCTAACCCAACCCTAACCTAACCCTAACCCAACCTAACCTAACCCTAACCCTAACCCAACCTAACCCTAACCTAACCCTTGCTAGAGTAAACAAAAGAGTAAGCAAAAGTAAACTTCCGGGGACCCGTAAAGTGCAGTCTACACGCCCAATGCCTCTTCATCACTGTTAATAATGAAATCAGCATTGCCAAGCAATTGCATCATTAATCCTTCACTGAAATGTTTTGGCATTTCACACATTTATCTCTGGCATGTTTCCAAATTAAATAAGTTCACGTCAAGCTGTGACAAAGGAATAACAGTTCCAGTAATAAAATATAGAACAACCACCTTGCAATCTCAGTTTATATCCATGGTTAAAAATATATATAATATCAGGTGATACCAGGTTTTTGAAAACAAACCAAATTTACAATTTCCTTTGTACCTAATTAAATAGTTAATCATATAAAAAGTTTCATGGCCTTCGATGAAGCTGTCAAATGAGTTCACTAGTCAGAAGTATTGTTTTACTTAGAGCACAACATGTGTTACTGATAACTAAACATTCATATTAAATAACAAATCCACTCTGATCAGTACCAAGCACCTTGCAGTTGCCACGGTTATGTATGCTCCCCTAACGTTTCTTAGCAGGTTCAGTGAGTGAGTGAGTTAATATTTAACGTCACATCGGCAATATTGCAGCCATATCGTGACAATCTTAGCAGGTTCAGAGTGTGAGTGAATATTGTTAGGTGCTTTGGTAGCATTTCATACAATTATTACATTTGCTACTAACTACATACAAGCATGACAATGTAATATTGCCCCAAAATAACATCAAATGGATCTGTCTGAACAAACAATAAATAAATATGCTTTGGATTTTCACAAAACTTAAAACAAATGTAACAAACACAAAGTAGGTAAATTCATGAACAAGACGAAAGTTTTCTTTTCCCCCAGAACATGTAGTATCACAACCCACAGAACCAGTCTCTCACATTAAAATATCTGTTACTACACCAGGTAACAAGTTCATACTCATTGCATCAAACACACTTCCATCTCACACCATCAGATCAGTGTCATGCTGACTGTTTCTATCTACATCAAGCTCCTGTGTCCTCTGTTGCCATGGCAATGCCTCTGTTGCCATGGCAATGCCTCTATCACAGCTATTAGGACATAGCTATCTTAACTCATTTACTTTAAAGGTGTTGGGAATATTTGCCAGTGATAGCAGCTTAGTTTCAAGTTGTGAAAAACACATTTGGTGTGTGCTAAAGCAAATTTATAGATGCAGACAAGTTTACCCTAATAGCCCTAGTTACATTGCAAGAATGCCTCAGTTTAACACAGGACACTATACCTGCATCTTCAAATCTGCAGCACAGACCTTTTTCAATAACAGACTTATTACGGCAGGAGACACCAGAAATGGGCTTCACAATATTGTACCCATTTGGGGAATCGAACCCAGGTCTTTGGCATGATGAGTGAACTCTTTAACCATTAGGCTACCCCACCGGCCCACTTCTGTAGTTGTGAAGTGCATATGGCTAATTATATTTAAAAGGGTGTTCTAAAAGGAACAGTTTCTGTCAGGTCTGGTTCAAGATGCCAACTAAGTCACACATTGCTCTCAGAGTAGCTAAGAGTTTGGAGAAATACTGAAGCAATGCAGGCATTTACCACTTCCAAGATAGAATGCTGAGAAACATAATTTGTCGAACAGGGATTCAAACCCATAAATCGCAGGTTCTGGCATACTTAAGAGATGCATCTCTGCTATGCAAACTGCAGTGCTTTAAACAACTGGGCAACATGTACCTGCTGTTTCATCTATACCCAAAATTGATAAAAGTGTCTAGGTCAGCAATTTTAGGACACTGTCTCCATCCGCGGATAATGTTTACATGCACAGCCAGGTCTGCTTTAAAGTAACAAGTAACTCCATGCAGGGTTGCAAGAAGTAATAGCAGTAGTGTAGAGCATGCAGGAATAACACTGTGTGGAGCTTGAAGTCCTGGTCTTTAGTGCTGAGCATGTGATCACAGTGCCGATACTGTAACCATCGTAGAGGATTCAGCTGTCACTGGAGTGTACAGAAGGAACTTTTAGTCTGTGTGGGGATGGGTTTGGCTGCAGCATCATTGCTGTATTGGATGATCTCGGCTTTCACAACCCGCTGTTGCTGCTCAACTTCTGGCTTGGTCAACTTGATTCCCAGAATCTCTGCTGCCACGCGTTGGAAACACAGGTTCACCTGGCAAGACCAGCAACATCAAGAAAAAATAGAATATTTTTAATGAATGAATGAATGAGTTTAGTTATAACGTCGCTTTTAGCAATATTCCAGCAATATCACGGTTGGGGACACCAGAAATGGGCTTCACACATTGTGCCCATGTGGGGAATCGAACCCGGGTCTTCGGCATGGCGAGAGAACGCTTTAACCACTAGGCTACCCCACCGCCCCTCAATATTTTCTAAAACGTGCTAATGGGTAGTCATGAGGATTATTGTTTTTGAAAAACTGAACTAACAAGAGTACTTCTGGAAAGGAAAACAACATAATGTTTTGAATATTGTCCCATATTTCTGCACTTAATATTGAAAGGAAAGGAGTTGTGTTTGAATTTCTCAGTGAGTATGGTTTAATCCTGCTTTTAGCAATATCACAACCGGGACACCTTGTGCAATCCCTGATTCAATGTTATCCACAAATATAGTTAACTGCTCTGTATATGTGTACATCCTAAGCAAATTGAATTTTACACTGATATTTAGGAGAACATTCATGAAACATGAATCTACATTGGTTGTATGTCAACCTACCGTATCTCCAGTCTTAGCAGACACAAAATGGCTAGACATGCCATGCTCCTGAGCAAACTTCTGGTGCTTGTCTAGCTTCACTGTTCTCATGTGTTCCAGGTCACCTGCAGGTAGAAGGTAGTACATTTGTACATTTGTACAAGGAGTGATGGTGGTGTAAGGATTTCTCTGATTTTTTTTTAAATAATGTCAAGTAAAGATGCCATGTGGAAAGGAGGCAAGTGGACCCAAATTTGTGCTTTATCGTGTTTATATATACGATTTTATTGATTCACTTACTGATCATTTCATTCATCTATTCAACCATAAAAGATGCCAAAGATTCTACTCATGAATGAAAAGCAATATTCTACTTATATGACAGTAGCCTGTTCATAATTGTGTCTGGATCAGACAATCCTGTGATTGACATAATTTTCCGACTTTATTCATACTGCTATGTTGCAATAACACATTATTCTCAGGAAAACCCCATAGGCGGATCCAGATGGGGGGTGCAGGGGTGCACACCCCCTTTTGTGCTGAAAGTTTGTTAAATGACCACTGAAACTCAGGTGAAAATGAAGTGTGCACCCCTCCTTTTCTCAATAGTGTGCACACCCCCTTTCTCAAAAAGCTGTATCCGCCCCTGAACCCTAAATCAAGAATTTAAATATGACAGCGACATCTTTCACATATATTCTAGATTTTAACCACTCAAAATTTGGTATTAAAATACTCACTCTTATTTCCAACTAGAGCCATGTGAGGTAGTCGTGACTCCTTTCCATAGACCTTTTTTACCATGTTGTACCAGTCTTCAAGGTTCTCAAAGCTGGCATAGCTGGTGATGTCGTACACAAGCAGGGCACCCTGCAACAGGCAATACAACACATACTCATACCCCTCTGTAATAGACCTGTGTCATAGTCTTTCTTACCCAGGTCTATCACAGACACAACAGCAGACAGACAATACAATACTTACTCATAACAGGGTTTTACACAGACCTTTAAAAATGGGAGTCATGGTGACTCACAATATTTATTTTTGGGAGTCATTTTCAATATTTGGGAGTCATGAAAATTCAATATTTCTTTGTCAATATTTCTTTGTGTTTATCATTCTCCTGTAAATGTCAAACTATCATCGAACAATATCATTTAACTGTGTATGTCACACAACCAAATGAAACTACAGCATTGTTCAATTCAAACAGCCAGGATTACTGTCTCCTCTGAGTTCTTTGGAACAATCTGACAGCTCTGTAAATGTCAAACTATCATCGAACAATATCATTTTTTGCTTATCAAATCGATTTTATTGTACTGAATTGTGAGGGTGTCCTTCTACCACTATAAAACTTGGCAGCATTCTCTTTGCCAGGCTAAAACTTCTGCAGACAATAGCTTCTTGCCACTTACCATATGATAGTATTTTCTTGAGAGTCCATTGCTTACAAAATTGTTATAGTACAACACGCACCACTACGGACGTAGGAATCACGCTGCGTTGCTTACAACATTCTCTTGCCAAGGCTTACCATTGCTGGGTACAGTGGCTGGTTCATGTAAAACCCTGTGATAAATCTCTCTTGTCTTACAGTCTTCTCTTGCCAGTCTTATCACAGGTGGCACAGTGCACCACAGCAGACAGACAATACAAGGCTTACCATTGCATAAACCTGTCACTGTGACAGTCAGGCTCCATTTGCTTCTTAAACCACTAGATCTATTACAGGCACTATAGCAACATTCTCTTCTAGCCAGGCTTACCATTGCTTACAGGTGGTACAGTGCTTCCATACATAAGCCTATCCCCTTACCATAACTTGACCCTTAAAATAAAGTGTAAAATGGTATATTTCACATAAATAAGCCCGAATCAGCCCAGCGATATGGTCCTAATCGCGGCAAACTCTGACCACAGACAACTGGCTGTTACCGATAATTATAACTTCAGTCCGCATTATTCAAAGAATTCACAATCATATTGTGTCTACTCATGCCTCGAAATAAAGTGTAGTTGACAGAAAATGGATAATATATTTTGTTTCGCTAAATATCATACTTATTTTAGCTGGATGATCACGTCAACAAACTGGCTTGCTTATTTTACCCCATTCCATGTGCGTACGACATCCGCTTACCATGTTCGTGATGGTATGTTTTTCGCTCCAACCGCGATAGCAATTTCACATCATATCATCAAAAATCACAAACTGATTACCGCCTCATTATCCACGGACCGCTAGTTTACAGTAACATCGGTGAAAACATAGTTTTATGTAGTATGTTTTACTGATCACTGCGTCAGAATTCATCCTGTTATATTATTGTGCATGTTTTAACTAAATCACCGGTAGATTGCCAGGACATGTGTCGCCTGGACATAGACCAGGACAGGTCTATATACGAGATAAATACACACGGTAATCTTAATCCCTGCAAATAATAAAATGCCAAGCAAAAACAAATTAGAAGTTAAAAGGTAAATAATCTTGTCTAGTGATGTTTAATTGCAAATTTGACGTCTTTACTGATAAAGTCGTCTTCTCTTTTTTGTTTGTCCACGCGAAGTGATACGATGGGGTTTTCTTACCCCCTGGAAAAAAGTTTGTCGAAAGTGTAACCATACATAAACCGACCCCCTTCTACAGACTGCTTTTTTCCCCTCAAAATTCGGCTTATCTACGGTAATATACAGTAATGAGGGCATGTCTGACTAGGAAGACAGGCCCTGAGTTTCCTTCATAGCTCAATACTTACATGGCTGCCATAGATGTAGTTCTCTAGCATCTTCCCTCCCAGTGTCTGTCCGCCGATATCCCACACCTGCAGGGCTACGTGGACATTGCCTGCAACAAGGTGGGAATCACTTCAATGTAGTTCAAAACTAACTGGGTACCTGCTGAAAATGACCAGGATCTAAAGAGAAGTAAGGTGTGCTAAACAACGTTGGTCAGCAATGGGACTTGCCTAGTTCTGGCTGACAAATTCATGTTAGGTATTTATCTAGTTCTTAGTGACTAAAAGCTCAGATAAACAAGCATTGTCACTAAGGTGACATAATCCCCCGCTGCAAATTATCAATTCAAACTTATAAAGTAATGAAAGTTTAAGTTAAATATCAACAAAAACATGACCAGTCAACCTCTCTTGATGTCTTGCTCTTTAGGTGTTCAAACACACACATATTTTCAAGACTGACTTTGACATGAATGTCATAGTGTATGAAATATGCAAAGATAGTACTAAAGAAATTGCTTTTTGAAAAACATTTAAGGGAAGTCTTGAAAGTCTTTGAAGAAGATCCAGTGAAATGTTTTTGAAATATCTTGCTGACAATTCAGGTTAACATGCTCAAATGTCAAAGTGTCTCTATGACCTTGAAAATTAAGTGAAGGTCACCAAAATCGACTCGGCCCCTAGATAAAGCTTTGTATTGAATATGAAGAAAATCCAGTGAACGGTTCTTGAGGTAGCTTAACATGCAGGTTTACATGCTGAAATCTTCAAAGTGTCTCTGTGACCATTGATAAAATCGGTTAATGTGTACACAACCATGTCACTAACCAATGTCAGAAATCACCCAGCTAGCCAAGGTGTCATCTCTTAATCCTAAAGTTAACATTGGTTACAAAAAGAGCTCCAGACAATTACCAGTGAGTGAGTATGGTTTTACGCCGCTTTTAGTAAATATTCCAGCAACATCACAGCAGGGGACACCAGAAATGGGCTTCACATAATGCGCGCATGTGGGGAATCGAACCCGGGTCTTCGGCGTGACGAGCGAACGCTTAAACCACTGGGCTACCCCACCGCCCTTGACAATTACCAGGGTCATTGACTCATTGAGGATGTACTCACATGTTTTCATTTTAACTGGGTATCCTAATTTGTAATTGAGTAATCAGGTATGTTTTATTTGCCTTAACCCATCTCTGTAGGGATTTACTATTATTTTGAAATGAGCTTCAGAGAAGTCACTTCATCAAAATGTTTGGTTGGTTTGTTGTTTAATGCCACACTCAGCAATATTACTGCTATATGGCAGCTGTATGTAAATAATCAAGTCCTGACCCGATAATCCAGTGATGAGCATCGATCTATGCAATTTATCAAAAGGAAAAAGATGTTTGATTAATGAGTAAGTTTCAGTGCCTCTAACAACATTATGTCAGTTGTTTCAACAGTCCCAGGATTAATAGAAAGGCTGCACTAATGCTGTGGAAAGTGTAGAAATGAAACCTATGAGTGTCGGCTTGTTATTGAGAGCACAGACTGATACTGCAATACACAGCAATGTAACTGCATCAGTTTATTACCAGGTACTTCTGCTTTTACATTGCAGTAAACAAAAAAACAACAACTAAAGACAAAATGTTATGCAGTGCATATTCTTCAGTAACAAACAGGGATAGAAATACTTTTTTTTCTAAGTGTGCCTTAGGGCACCAGACAAATATTTTAGGTGTGCCTTTCAGAAATTGAGTATGGCCACATGTTTTTAGAATAAATGACAATGATGATGATCATTTGAAATTTATTGTTAAATAAAGAAATGGGTTTATGAGCATTCAAATATGTATGGTATTATTTAATTTGGAAAAAAATAATTGTTTTGGGGATTAAATGACTAAGTGTGAGTTATGTCTCTAAAAAATCAGGCGTGTCAAAAGGGCACCGAAAACATTTTTTGGCTGTGCCATTTCAATAATTACCGTGCCATGGCACACTAATATATGGGGCATTTCGAACCCTGAACAAGTCTTATCTTAGTTTGACAAACTGCTGCAATTATAATATATAACTGCTTGGAGCTAAACAAATACTCCCGACCATTTTATGACGAAGTGCTGGGATACCATGATAGGTTAGTCACTGTTAGTCTCTCTGAGCAGACAACACTTGAAGTTGAGGATATACCCGGTAACTGTTTTAAGCCTATTAGCTTTTGAAAATTTAAAGTAATTTAATTTGATCGTTATAGTTGCGCAGATAGGTAGCTTATCTGGAGCTCTGTAAAAGTTAAAAGCTTCCCTGGAACTCTGATATGAATTGCAATGCATAATGTAATGCATTGTAATGTCCCATGATCAAGGATTTATTCAGGAGTCATAAGATTTATTTAGGAATGCTTAGAGGATATAATTTGACACCAAGTCTGATGCAAATATCAGATAGAAATTTCAAAATTGGAATTAAACAATTCCTAATTTGAGCTACTACTGTACTTTACTGATAGCAATATCAAAGCACTAAATGCAGTGTTAAATTTAATTGATAAAGAAAAGTTTGGAAAATAAACACTTCTAAAAACACCCTACTTTGGAACAAAGTTACAATTATACTGAATTAGTGAATATGCCTGGGCAGTTAGTTTAGGATGCTACATAAATCATTGGGATCCAAACTGAGTACTTTTGACAGGCAATTTGTAAGAAAATGCATTACTGTGTTCAAATTGGTCATTTGAAATATAATTCACTTCTATAAAAATTATAAAGCCACAACATTAGTTAATGGGTACTAGTGGTGGTCCGATTAATTGAAATAATCGAAAATTGGTCGCAATGACTAAACGATCAAGCAATCGATCATGTTTTCTCATAATCGAACACAAACAATTCTGGAACACTTGTTTGCATTAACAATATTTTTCACAAGGTTGGTTTTGTCTGTTACATTTCATAAACATTACAAGCTCGTTCCAAGTGAGGATTGAATTTATCTTAAAGACTCCTGGAAATTTATGTTCCTAACATACTAGTCATCCTTTAAAGATGTTAAATTTGCACACAGTTGTTGAACTGTCAGGTGTAAATTAGTAAATAATCCATAAAACATAACACTCCTATGATACTTAATCATGCTAATAGATAGTATTAACACTTATTGTGGTATATATTGTGAGATATATTGTGTTCATGTAGGGCAGTAATTGTTTACCTGGCAGAACTATTCTCTTCAGGTAGAAATCCAGCCCAACTGTCTGCCCATACTGCTTCTTGAACTGTTCTTGAGAATATCGGGTGGCCAGAGACGTCTGCAACAAGAATGCATTTACAAAACATGCAAATAATCGAAATCTAGAACACCAAAACATGTAAATAACATAGAATGATATTTGATACATCATACTAGTAACCCTATTACTAAATGGTTTGGTATGTTTCTTGTTTAACGCCACCCTCCAGCTATAAATAATCGAGCCTGGACCAGACAATCCAGTGATCAACAGCATGAGCAATTGGGATATGATGACATGTGTCAACCAAGTCAGCGAGCCTGACCACACGATCCTGTTTATCGCCTCTTAAGACAAGCATGGGTTACTGAAGACCAATCTTAACCCGGACCTTCACAGGTTTATTACATAATTTAGTATGAGAATGAAAATTAATTTGCACAGCAGTCAGCAATATTCTAGCAATACAGCTGTCTTATAGTGACCTGGAAATACTGGACTGCGTAAACCAATGTAATCCAGCAGCTGTAATTGATATGAGAAACCTTATTTGGAAAATGAGAAATACAATGTCATATATAGTTTGCCAAGCTAGGGTACATTTGTGAATACAGATGGGTACTTCATAGGCGCCCGACTCTGATATACCTATAAGCATGACCTATATGTATAAGATATAAGAAAGGTGTGTCAGTAAATCGAAACAAAATGGCGGCCCGGCTCGGCTTCGGTCTGACAAACGCTTCCATCGCTTTGACCCTTGAATAAACTGCACAATTTGTACTCAGTTGACCTCTGTAAAGTACCTTGCGTATCACAAACCTGGCGATTTTATTCCCATTTAAAGCTTTCAATAATTTTGCCGTCCATTCTCACACGAAGTCTGGACATATGCCCGGAAGTAAACAAATCTCAGGCTACAGAACTGCACCGAATAGTACAGTGAGTGTCTGAGTGAGCCGGACCGCCATTTTGTTTCGATTTACTGACACATTTCTTATATCTTATAGTATATACATATAGGTCATACTTATAAACATATCAGAGTCGGGCGCCTATGCACGTGTGCGATCGGATTGCACAGGCAGTTTCATCGGTAGGGTGGATGCCCAGTCACTGTTGTGAGAAGTTTTATTGACAATGGAAATCTGGAAGTTAAGTTGTATGAAAAGCAAGCAAACATCAATATTATTTACCCGAGATTGTTAATACCACTTCAGATGCAAAATCAATTGCCTATATAAACAAAAAATAGCAAGCCAAATTTCAGTAAGATCAGTCATCTGCTAGTGACAGGCAAATTCTAAATAGGAACCCACGTGATCACAACATTCCCTTGCACTGCGGAGCGAAAAGTATGGCTCATCAACGAAAACCCATACAAAATACCCGGATGTGGAGAGCGGCAACAGTTTCACCGATATTATGTCATCAAGCTATATTTGTTGGGAACACTTGATATTTTTGCATGAAATAGATGAATATATCCTTTATTACTCAAGGTTAGTAAAATAAAAACTTTAAATGATATTAAGATAAAAAATATGTTTTTGTTTACATCGTCGAAAACCCCTGACACCGGGATAACTGTCATTTGAACATTGGGCCCTAGACGATATAGAAAATAAGGGTTCATTTCTTTAGTGCTTATTTCCTCGATAAGGTATATTTTGTGTGCACACAATTCTATCATTATTATGTCATCATTTAAGTACCAGGCATAAAGAGTGTCAGAAGTTTTTGCCCAGCAATTTTAATCACATTACTGATGTCATTTCATAACACTGACCAAAAACACGGCATTTGGATCATAAAACAATGAAACAATAAACATGGCTTTCATATAACTGATATGCATATCCTACGACAATTATAACATTTCTAATATATCAGTAGTAAGTGTACTAGTAACTTCGTGATCAGGGAATTAGCCTCTGAGTGCAACAAACAAACGGACAGAGTAAGAATTACAGCTCTTCACATGTTGTCAGTGTCCAAGCTTATCCTTCCCTTTGTACATATCAATGAAACCTACCACACGTCAAGCTGGCGTTGACCGTGAAGACGATTAAATAGATATATAAAGTCAATAATAACCTTGCCAGACGCTCCGTCTCCCATGATGACGATTTTCAGTTGCTTGTCAGACGACTCATCTTCGGAGTCGGACATTTCAAGCACCTGTGGCCGAATATTCGGCAATCAACAAGCAGAGTTCAACTTAAATATCGTCCCAGAATGACAGGTATGTGCCGCCAACAGACAACTCTCTAAAGATGTTACATTATCCGCTTTGACATGGCCTATCTAGCTAGGCCTAATTGAAGAGAAAATATTTTTCTTTTCGCCGTGGGTTACCATTCGGTTACTTCCGGTTCCTGTACGGAAACATACGAGTTTTGACGGAAGAATTAAAGGTGGAAATTTAATATTCTTTATAAAGTAAATATTGAGAAAGCGGCAAAGCACAACAGTAAGCACAGGTAATAACATCTTAGTGCTTCTTATTTATAGTATGCTGATAGTAAAGTTATGTTTAGAATCCAAACTACTCTTGTATTCGAGTCTGAACATGCACAGCGCTCATAACTACATAACGTTGTATATTATACGACACTTCAATCAATTTGATGTTTGTATGAACAGTGCAATTCATCGGTTTGTATTGCTCCAAGGCTGTACTGAATGCTAAGCCCATGGATGTATGAATTTTTTATCCTTTAAAGAGGCAAGTCTAGATAACGGGACTCTACAGGACGCTGGTCTGTTTTGTTTTTTAAATAATAAATAAATTAATTATCATTTAAACTATTAATGATTACCTTAGAGGCTTATGCAAGTCTGCGTATTTGTCAATGGTATTATCAGTGGTTGTGTGAATGAGAAGAATGGTTGACTGGATGTTTGGATGGTTGTTTGGTTGAAAGGATGATATTATTAATGGTTGAATGAAAGATAGAATGAATAGTATTATGAATGGTTGAATGGTTGAAACTGAATGGTAGAATTATTAGTTGAATGGATAGTACAAATAATTTTTTCATGAATGACAGAATGAATGGGTGAATGAATTGGTGAAAAAATGGATGAACAGAAAAATAGATTGTTGATAGTATTACAATTGATAAAGTCAACAGTTGAATAGGAGACAGGATGTTTGAATTAATGGTAGAATGAAAGATAGAATTAGTGGTTGAATGAATGAGAGAGTGATCGAAGAGTTGAATAAATTGTAGAATGAACATTATTTTGAATGAATACCTAAATGGATGGTAGAAAGGGTGATAGATTGCATAGTTAAATTAATGATAGAATTATTGTCAGTAGAATGACTAGTAGAATGAATAGTATCATATGAATAGTTGAATACATGTTTGAATGCCTGATGGAAAGAATGGACAGTAGGATGAATGGTTGAATGCATTGTTGAAAGAATAATAGAACAATTGATAGAATGTATGAATTAATAAAAGATGGAATAAATGGTTAAATTAACAGTAACATGAATAGTAGAATGATTTGTAGAAAAGTAGAATGAATGGTAGAGTGAGTGAGTGATTTTAGTTTTACGCCGCACTCAGACAATCCAGTGATCAACAGCATGAGTATCGATCTATGCAATTGATATATCTTTGCAATTGGGATACAATGACATTTGTCAACCAAGTCAGAGAGCCTGACCACCCGATCCTGTTAGTCGCCTCTTACGGCAAGCATGGGTTAATGAAGACCAAGAATGAGTGGTTTAAGATTAAAGATTAGATCAACTGTATTGCAGAGATTTATGTTATGTACTCATCTCATCTCAAAGCTCAGAGGAGAGATTGCACCAAGGGGTATTCTAAGACAAGTGGTTGTTGGTTGCAAATTGCCGTTCCTAACAAGTTTGTAATCAATATATACTCATAGAAATGAATAAGGGAACACATGCAAGTACAAATGTTCGTTTATTTATTTCCAGAATTTCTCTCACAGTGCAATACATCATGAAGAAACCTGGAAAAGAATAAAGGAACACTTGTACTCTCATGTGTTCCCTTATTTGTTTCCATGAGTATATTGTTCACACCCCCATTTGGTTATCTACTCAATGACATCACGTGATGTTTCACTCCAGCAGTCTATGATTTCCTCAGTGACACAGACCAGTCTTGGTCCAACACAAGGCATCGAACTACAACACCTTGACCTAAATCAAAACAGAATAACCTTTCGTCAGGTTGATAAGTCAATGGCATTAAATTTTCTTTTCAGGAAGAGTTCTAAATAAATACTTGACCTCCAGATTGACTGTGTATGAGTGAGTGAGGTATTTTTATGCCACTTTTAGCAATAATCCAGCAATATCATGCCGGGCAACATCAGAAAATGGGCTTCACACATTGTACCCACGTGGGGACTTGAACCCAAGTCTTCGGCGTGACGAGCGAACACTTTAACCACTAGGCTACCCCACCACCCCAGTGACTGTGTATGACCTGTACATGCAGCCATTCCTCCAACAGTATGTGATGTAGGATTTCTTATGTTTTGTTCATCATGGAAAATGTCACAGGTTCTTTATTGTGATAGTAGTGAGTGAGTGAGTGAGTGAGTTTTATGCCGCCTTCAGCAATATTCCAGCAATATCTGGGCGGGGGATGCCAGAAATGTGCCTCACACATTTTGCCCATGAGGGAATGGAACCCTGGTCATCAGCTGCGTGATGAGGGAACGCTTTAACCACTAGGCTACCCCACCGTCTCTATTGTGATACATGTACTAATATGATTGGATAGAACATGTCCGATTGGGAATTGTTTTACTGGACCGCTGGCAATTAATACTATTTAGACCCACAGTTAAAATGATCTGATCTTGCAAGTTGGCTGAAGCGTTGAAGTTGACATTTCTCATGCATGTGTCTGAAGGAATGCATGTAAAGTTAGAAAAGAATTCTTTTAGCATTGTAACCATGGAGTTTTCTCATTAAAGAATTATTGATGTAATCATTGGTCCACGTGGGTAATACCTCAGTTTCACCATGATGCCACTTTTTGTTGATGTGTGTGGAATACTTTCACCATGATGCCACTCTTTGTTGATGTGTGTGAATACTTTCACCATGATGCCACTTTGTTGATGTGTGTGGAATACTTTCACCATGATGCCACTTTGTTGATGTGTGTGGAATACTTTCACCATGATGCCACTTTGTTGATGTGTGTGGAATACTTTCACCATGATGCCACTTTGTTGATGTGTGTGGAATACTTTCACCATGATGCCACTTTGTTGATGTGTGTGGAATACTTTCACCATGATGCCACTTTGTTGATGTGTGTGGAATACTTTCACCATGATGCCACTTTGTTGATGTGTGTGGAATACTTTCACCATGATGCCACTTTGTTGATGTGTGTGGAATACTTTCACCATGATGCCACTTTGTTGATGTGTGTGGAATACTTTCACCATGATGCCACTTTGTTGATTGATATGTGTGGAATACTTTCACCATGATGCCACTTTGTTGATGTGTGTGGAATACTTTCACCATGATGCCACTTTGTTGATGTGTTGTGGAATACTTTCACCATGATGCCACTTTGTTGATGTGTGTGGAATACTTTCACCATGATGCCACTTTGTTGATGTTGTGGAATACTTTCACCATGATGCCACTTTGTTGATGTGTGTGGAATACTTTCACCATGATGCCACTTTGTTGATGTGTGTGGAATACTTTCACCATGATGCCACTTTGTTGATGTGTGTGGAATACTTTCACCATGATGCCACTTTGTTGATGTGTGTGGAATACTTTCACCATGATGCCACTTTGTTGATGTGTGTGGAATACTTTCACCATGATGCCACTTTGTTGATGTGTGTGGAATACTTTCACCATGATGCCACTTTGTTGATGTGTGTGGAATACTTTCACCATGATGCCACTTTGTTGATGTGTGTGGAATACTTTCACCATGATGCCACTTTGTTGATGTGTGTGGAATACTTTCACCATGATGCCACTTTGTTGATGTGTGTGGAATACTTTCACCATGATGCCACTTTGTTGATGTGTGTGGAATACTTTCAGCATGATGCCACTTTGTTGATATATGTGTGGAATACTTTCACCATGATGCCACTTTGTTGATGTGTGTGGAATACTTTCACCATGATGCCACTTTGTTGATATGTGTGGAATACTTTCACCATGATGCCACTTTGTTGATGTGTGTGGAATACTTTCACCATGATGCCACTTTGTTGATGTGTGTGGAATACTTTCACCATGATGCCACTTTGTTGATGTGTGTGGAATACTTTCACCATGATGCCACTTTGTTGATGTGTGTGGAATACTTTCACCATGATGCCACTTTGTTGATGTGTGTGGAATACTTTCACCATGATGCCACTTTGTTGATGTGTGTGGAATACTTTCACCATGATGCCACTTTGTTGATGTGTGTGGAATACTTTCACCATGATGCCACTTTGTTGATATATTTGTGGAATACTTTCACCATGATGCCACTTTGTTGATGTGTGTGGAATACTTTCACCATGATGCCACTTTGTTGATGTGTGTGGAATACTTTCACCATGATGCCACTTTGTTGATGTGTGTGGAATACTTTCACCATGATGCCACTTTGTTGATGTGTGTGGAATACTTTCACCATGATGCCACTTTGTTGATATGTGTGGAATACTTTCACCATGATGCCACTTTGTTGATGTGTGTGGAATACTTTCACCATGATGCCACTTTGTTGATGTGTGTGGAATACTTTCACCATGATGCCACTTTGTTGATGTGTGTGGAATACTTTCACCATGATGCCACTTTGTTGATGTGTGTGGAATACTTTCACCATGATGCCACTTTGTTGATGTGTGTGGAATACTTTCACCATGATGCCACTTTGTTGATGTGTGTGGAATACTTTCACCATGATGCCACTTTGTTGATGTGTGTGGAATACTTTCACCATGATGCCACTTTGTTGATGTGTGTGGAATACTTTCACCATGATGCCACTTTGTTGATGTGTGTGGAATACTTTCACCATGATGCCACTTTGTTGATGTGTGTGGAATACTTTCACCATGATGCCACTTTGTTGATGTGTGTGGAATACTTTCACCATGATGCCACTTTGTTGATGTGTGTGGAATACTTTCACCATGATGCCACTTTGTTGATGTGTGTGGAATACTTTCACCATGATGCCACTTTGTTGATGTGTGTGGAATACTTTCACCATGATGCCACTTTGTTGATGATGCCACTGTGTGGAATACTTTCACCATGATGCCACTTTGTTGATGTGTGTGGAATACTTTCACCATGATGCCAC